ATACACGACTCACTTCCGAAGTGTCCACGTTTTGACAAGGACAAAGAGGCAAAGCAAGGACAAACAGATCTATCAACACTCAAGCAAAATACATAGTCTTCTTCAAATTCTGGTGTAGAGTTGTCGCCGTAATTAATTCCCTTTCCGAAAGCGTACTTTCATAATCGCCAACGGTCGACGACGTTTCGCTACCAAAGTCTGACCTTAAACAGAGTTCGTATTAAGGTAATAGAAAAACTTGTAAAAAAAAATCAAACGTACGAAATCATTTTTGCCAGATGAAATCGTGCACGCGTACAAGCGAGATCTGCAAAATACACAGGAGCAGGAATGCTTACGGAACGAGCACAGCGGCCGTAAATGTGGCAGAGGTAGAACGTTAGCAACTGCAAAGCATCAGAACTGTAGTTGCAGCTGTCGAAAAGCACATGGTACTTAGTCGGTCTCGAAGTACCCTAAAAGTTGGAGCATACTTTCAAATAAAATATTACATTTTAACCATATTACCTGAATACCCGCATGACTACACAAAAAGAAATCAAATTCTTCAGGGGTGGTAATTAATGAATCTACCACGGTACCCGCTGGTACGTTTTTTCCACGGCCTCTTCCATCGTTTAAATCCGAACACGCGAAACGCGTATGGTGGCGTTTCTGAACAACCACAAATGTGATCTTCGGACGAAAATTTTCGTCAAGCGCCAAACAAGCTTTCCGAATTCCGCTAAGTTCTTCTTTCATTACCTGAAATTTTACTATTATCAATAAATCACATCACAACATTGATTACCTCGTAGAACTGCCCTTCAGAAATGCCGTCGCGATAGACAAGAATTCTTTGTGGTTTAACATTCGTGTTTTCTACATAGTCCATCAAGCGTTCCCTGAAAGCTTCCTCCAACTGTACTATGGACTCCTGCTTGTTCTTTTGCACACGGATGGTGGCGTAAAATTTTGTACAATCAGCGTCAATGTTTCCGACAACCTAAGAAAAAACACTGAAGACCTAATGATTTATTATAAAGATGATCTTACCGCTCCAATTGAAGGCAACGGTTCATTCCTGGTTGGGTGAGTAACGTCGACTCCAAGAACCAACGTATTTTCGTTTACAAGACATTCTTTCGCACTAAATAGCGGCATGATCCTCAACCTGGCTCTGACAACGGCATCACTTACATCTTATCGCTTGCTATTCGTGAATTCACACCTCCCACTTTCATGTTTATCTTCAACGCCAAATTTATCAAAGTCGCTGTTTTATTCTTCATCAGCACATCGTTCATTGTTCTTCGCAAGACACACTGCGTCATCACACCATACCCGATATCAGATACGCGCTTCACTTCGGCTGAAAGGAGCAAATTAAAGCAAAATAAAGATAATTCAAAAAATGATAAGCAATACTAACCATATTCTGGACCTTTCTCGGGCAGAATAACTATAATCAAGCTGCAAACAGCATTGTTTTCTTCGTAGGTAGTGCAGATCTCCCGCACACACCTGTCGAATTCTACAGCTCCCGGGCAGTTCTTCACCATTTCTGGTCGCTCAGTTTTCACACGCACCCCCATGTCAGCGCATGTACGCAGAAGTCTTAGGACAAAGTCTCTGAAATTTAACATAAATCAATACACGCGTACAATCTTACGCAAGAAGATTACTCGACTCCTGCTGAATCGTTACGACGGAGAAAGCTAATGATGGCGCATCCCAGAATCGTACCACCATGAAAAAATTTCTGGCCCGTAGGCTGCCATGCTCCGTCTTCCGGAATAACTATTGGATTCTAGAACAGTGGGTGAAATTTAAACAACAGACACGAAAAACGCTGGATAATATTTATAGGGACTAAACCTAATTTCATTCATTTCCTACACCAAGGGCATCAGAGAGCCTTTTCGTAAAGCTCCCAACCACACAAAAGCGCCCTCTGCCGTGTTCTGTGATTTTGCGAGGAGAGCCAATACTGATCATCCTCTGTAATCTTGATCACATACCCAAACCACGGCGATTGTCACCTCTTCATCTGAATAACTAACGCCTCACTAGTAAAAGTATCTAGGATTGTTGCTGTCTTAATTTTGTCGAGCGTCGTCACTCCAGCAATTATTTTACTTGACTGAATTTATGACAAACGTGAATCGGCAGAGAATTAGAAATCTTTCCAATAATGCGGAAGCTGACCAGTTTCTGGCCATAAGCAGGAAGTTGCGAAGTGGTGCGAAGGCATCATCATCACTTGCTGTACAAGGGCGGCATTCCACAAGGAGAGTTGAGCAATGGCTAATTCAACCGTCAACAGTTGAACAGCAATGCAAACCCATCTGTCTCAAAGCTTTTAGACATCTATCCTAACCTCTGTTAATGAATGCACTAGTGACCGAAAGAAGGAGGATCGTCGATAAAAGCGGTAGCGACAGAAATCTGACTCCTCCAAAGGACTAGACTGACGAAGATGAGCAATACGTGGCAAGGAGCAATCTGCGATACAGTCGCACTAGCTATTTCTTGCAAATTCAGATATTACAACTTGGACAAACTAGACATCATTAGGATGGGAAAAAATAAATTTATCTTTCACTTGCTAGCCTCAAAATTTAGCGTCTGCAGGTTGCCGGAAAAACTTATTGAAAATCGTTGGAAAACTTTTATCAAATCGACTTCAAACACAAAACGAATAAAAAATTAGGATAATGAACGAAAAATCAGACTAGCAAGCAGTACACGCAATTTACAACGGCGTTTAAACTACAAATTCCGTCATATGACATAGTAGTTCATGCTGTCTAATATAACTGAAAAATTTTCGCATATGCGAATACAGATGGTTGATTCGCTGCCTTAAAGCCGGTCTATTGCATGCATGGAAATTTCCTGGATGTCGTAGTTGCATGTCAGAAGGAGTAGCATAAGAAAACCGAATCAGATGATGCCAGAAACCGCATATTAACATAAGATTACTGTATTAACATAAGACTACTTTCATTTGGTAGATTTTTGGAATCCCTCGCAAAGAACGGCGATTGATGCTGAATCGCTTGAATCAAAACTTGACAGTGCCGTGCTGATATAAACTTCTAAATGCTATACCGTACTAGTGCTTTATTTCAACTTGACTAGAGAAGCCAACATTTGGACAGATGCTGCAGAAACTAAAATACTTACGGCACTGGCTTCAGAAGAATATTCGATTTTTGGAAGAGGCAATATGCGTCCTTGGACAAGAAGTGGCTCAGTTTTGACTTCAAGTCCAAATGCTTCAAGAAACGGGTCAGTCGCAATCTTTGCTTCACGAATCAGATCTTGAACTTTACG